AACCCGTTTCTGACATTCCTCCAGGCTTTGTTCATTCATTTTGTTTCTCCTGTAAGTTTGTGTCTAGTCACCATCCCAATTTCATGAGACTCATGACGACGTTAGAAGTCATTTTAGGCAATATAGCTTGGCGGGGGGGCTTTATTGAGTGTGTGAAGGACCCAAAATGAAGCAAAAGAAAATGATGAGATGCTGCTGGTTCTCAGTCACAGAAACGGGGCATAGTGACAAAACCCTGTAATGCCAGCACCTGGGTGGCAAGCTGGGGACTGGCCTTCTCTACACAGTAAATTTGAGGCCAGCAGGGGATAAAGCTAGAGTCTTTTAAACAAATTGTTTAACCTAACCTTCTGCCAGTTACAGCCTGGGTGTGTCCACCCTGAACTTCGTAAGTTGGAACCTAATAATGCCTAGTTCTCTACCATCATGAAAGGTATTTATTTTCCCCATTAAAGAGGCCCAAGGAAGCCTGCCATTCCATCCACTCTGTGAAGACACATCTTTGAGGCAATAGGAGGGAAATCAATCCTTTCTGGGCTGCCTCATGCCAGCCATTTGGGGCGCTGGCTGTTGCTGGCTGAGGTCCCTGTGTGTATCAGGGATTGGGAGACAACAGAGGAAAGACAGGCATCACTGAAGGAAACGGGCAGGAGAGGAGCAGCGTCTGATGTGACAGGACTGGGTCCACGGGAGACCTAAGACAGAAGTTAATCTACCAGGAACCTCAAGGCTGCTGTGGGGCTTCAGTGGCTTGGCTGACACACATGATAAGTCGCAGAGGCTCTGGAGGATCCGTAGGATTTCGACTGGCATGTAAATTGGGTTTATAATCCGTGGGAGCATGCAGGAGGGCATGAGGAGGGAGGAGAGCAGACATAGGAACTAGTCAAGGCCACTCACAAGCAAACGTAGCAAGATGTGTGCTGAGCCAGAGTTCCTAAGGCGAGTGTAGTGAGAGGTGAGGGAAATGACAGGACGGACACCAGGCGCAGGGCTAGCAAGGCGCTAGAAGGCTTCGCATCTCAGGGTGGAGGAAGTCAGAGCAGTGCAGGTGAAAAAGACTGAGCTTGTCCCGAAGGAGCTAGAGCATGCTGTGTACTTTTCTCCTCTGCGGTGATGTATACTGGGGTGGTGTTAGGGACGGACTTTGTTTACCCACATCAAGGTCCTTTCTGCAGCCAAGTTTTGTCAACAGATAGTCAATGTACAGAGCACTGCCTAGAGTCATGCCAGCCGCACGCTTGACAGGTGAGGCTGCGGCTTGACCCCAGGGGCCACTGGCGAGAATGAGGAGCGTGAGCTGCTCCTCCCGAGACCCTCACGAGGGGGGACGTGTGCAGTAGCCCCGTGGCAGTGCCGCAAGAGGGGAATGCCAGGTTCATGGGTAACGACTGGATTGTTGAGTGCTAAATGGGGTCTATCCATGCAGCTGTGCCCCAAACTGCTCTCTTGACAGAACAGCTGATGCGAGTGATGGGACATTTCCATGCTATGTTTGAATGGGATAACACTTCTATCTTCATTTGCTTTAATTAAAATTTTGAGATAGTACAGGAAGTAATGGGTTTCACTATGCCATTTTCATACACACGTGACTTCGTTTGTTACTTTCATCCCCTTCCTCCAAAATCCCCTCATGTCCCTTGTTCCTTCTTCTTTCATGTCTTATGAATTCCATTACCCTTTCTTTTACCTCTTCCTCTAGGCGTTCTTCCTTTTTACTCGTAATGGACTTTCTGTTTCCAACACACACACACACACACACACACACACACACACACACACTCACTCACTCACTTTAAATCTAGTTACTGCATACGAGAGAAAAGGTGTAGCAGTATTCTTTTTGAGTTCAGCTCATTTCACTTACCGTAATGATCTCCATTTGTTTCACTGCAAATGTCACGATTTCGTTTTTCTTCAGAACTGAAGTAAGCTCCGTTTATGTGTGTTCCACATTTCCTTCATGCGTTCCTTTGTCAATAGGTATCAAGGGTATTCCTATTCTTAGCTGCTGTGGACAGTGGGTGTGTGGAGTGTAGCAGAGTCATAATTCAGTCCTGGTCTTAGTTCATCGAGGGACCTCATGGTGTTTCGGAAGTGACTGTACCAGGCGACACACTCACCATCAGTGGATAAGGGACCTTCCTTCCCACATCCTTACCAGCGGTTGTTTTCTTCGCAAGAGCCATTCTGACTGGACTGAAATGGAATCTGAAATGACTTTTAATTTGCATTTCCCTGATGGCTAAGAATGTAGAAGGCTTCTGAAGGATTTATTTGCTGTTTGTTTTATGAGAACGGTCATTGGTTCTCTTTACTGACTTGAGGTTTTTGCCACTTATATTTTGCAGTTCTGTATGTACCCTGGGTATGTCAGCCTCTTGTCTGACATGTAATTGGTGGAGATTTTTCCTAGCGGTAGGCTGCCTTTTTATTCTAGCACAGTGGTTCTCAACTTGTGGGTCACAACCCCTTTCGAGGGTTGCATATCAGATATCCTGTATATCATATATTTATGTTATATTCATAACAGTAACAAAGTTACAGTTACGAAGGAGCAAAGAAATAATGTTATGATTGGGGGTCACCATGACGTGAGGAACTGTGTTAAAGGGTCGCAGCATGAGGAAGGTTGGGAACAACAGCTCTAGTAGTAATTTCATTTGCTGTGCAGAAGCTTTTTCCCTTTATATAGTCTCAGGTATCAACTCTTGGGACTATTTCCCATGCTACTGAAGACTACCTATGCCCTTAACTTTTAAGTGTTTTCATCAGAAATGCCAAAGCTTCAGGACTTATGTCAAGATCTGTGCGGCATTTGAATAATTCTTTTACAGGACAAAAGACAGACCCAATTTCTCATTCTTTTGTGTGTGGTCAGAACAGCACCATTTGTTGAAGAGGCTGTCCCTTTTCATGTATTTCTTTTTTGACACATTTGTCAAAATTAGGTAGCTGTAGTTTGTGGGTTTGTCTCCAGGCCTTTTATTCCATCCACCTACATGTCTTTTCTTCCTTTTTTTTTCGGGGGGGGGGGCGGCTAGTACCGGATGGTGTTTTGTTATCGTTTCTCTGTGATTTAATATTAGGTATTTGAATACCCGCAGCATTGCTTTTTCCACTTGTGATTTTGTTAGCTATTTTTTTTATATGTGTGTGTGTGTGTGTGTGTGTGTATGTGTGTGTTTTCATACAAATTTTAGGATTATTTTCCCCAGCTTTGTGAAGAATGCCACTTGAAACTTAAATGGAGATTGTGTTAAATCTGCAGTTTGCTTCTGGCAGTGTAGCTATCTTCACAATATTAATCTTGACAATCCATGTGTGTGGAATGTCTTTCCATCTTGTTTCTTCTTCTTCTTTTTTTTTTTCTTCTTCAGTGTTTTAAAGTTTTCCTTGCAAAAAATCTTTCACCTCCTTGGTCAACGTTTATTTCTTGGTGTGTGTGTGCACCCCGATGTATACACATAGAGGCCAGATGAGGATGTTGAGTGTTTCTGCCTTCTTCCTTTGAGGCAGGGTCTCTTATTGAATCTGCAGCTGGGCTGGCAGCCAGCAAGCCTAGTGATCCTCCTGACTTCTCCTTTCTCTGGGGCAATAGATGTACACAAAGCCATATCACATTTTTTGTTTGTTTGTTTGTTTGTACATGGGTGCTAGGGATTTGAACGTGGGCCCTTGGGCTTGCTCAGCAAGCGTCCTTAATGCCAAACAATCTCCAAGAGGACTTTTGGCATTTTGTTTGTCTGTTTGGTTTGGTTTTGCCAATGAGAATACTTTGACTTCTTTCCCATTCGTATCCCTTTGATTTCTTGTCTTGCTGTTCTGAACAAGATTTATGTTGTATATAAAAGAGTGCCAAGAGTAGGCATCTTTGTCTCATTCTTAATTTTAGAGCAGATGCTTTTGGTTTCTGCCACTTAGTGTTGGTTAGAGGACTGAATAGATGGCATTTCTTATGTCGTCAAGAGTTCCTTCTGTTACTAGTTTCTTGAGAGCTTTTATCAGGAATAGATGTTGAGCTTTGTCAAAGGCTTTTTAAAAAATTTATTTATTTATTATGTATACATAGTTCCGTCTGCACATATACCCGCACGCCAGAAAGAGCGCACCAGATACCAGATTTCAATATAGATGGTTGTGAACCACCATGTGGTGGCTGGGAATTAAACTCAGGACCTCTGCAAGAGCAGCCAGTGCTCTTAACCTCTGAGCCAGCTACTCTCCAGCCCATTGTCAAAGGCTTTTATCATGAGGTTTCTGTCTTTATTTATTTATTTATTTATATTTTTGTCTTTACTAATTTACGTAAGTTGAATCAACCTTTCATCCCTGGGATGAAGCCAGGCTTCACACAGTATATATTTTTAGTGTGTTCTTAATTTGCAAGTATTTTACTGAGAATTTATGTCAAGTTTCATCAGGGAAAATTAGTCTATTGGTGTTGTTTCTCTTGTCTGTAGCCTTACCCAGTTTTTGATATGAAGGTAATGCTGGCTTGCAAAATTTATAGGTAGAGTGTCTTCCCTTTCTATTTTGTGGACCAGTTTTAAGAGTATTGGTGTTAGCTCTTTTTTTAGTGACTGGGTAGAATTTCTCAGTGGATATGTCCAGTTTGGGGCTTTTTTTTTGAGGGGAACTTTTTATTAAAACTTCAATTTTGTTGCGTGTTATGTACAAGTGTTTGTATCTTTTAGCAGGTCACAGATTTTTGTTGCTGACAGCCTTGGTCAGCTATGGGTGACAGCTATTACGGAAACTCATAACTAGACAAACTGCTAGGAATAAACGAGCATTGCTGTACATGGCAGCCCAATGCTTAGCATTAAATAGGAGGAAATAATTATGTCTTTACATCACCCCCACCAAGGCTCAGAGGACCTCAAACCTACTTTTATGGTGGTGAAAGGTTAATATCCTCAGAATCTCATTTGGCCTTCATTGTAGACAAGGAAACCGACAGAACTAAGATTTTTTTTTATTATTTTTATTTATTAATAGTAACAAAACTCAGAAATAACAAAAACAAGTTAAATGAAATATGGAAGCACACTAAATACAAATGCATTTTCATAACCTCATGGGGCAACAGAAATCTGTTGGATCTGTTTTCGGAAGTTTAACCACTTAGATCATAGGTGTGACCAAGGCATTCAGAGTGTTCACATTGACTTGGTTGCAGATGGAGGAGCCTGCTTCCCCAAGACTGACAGTAGTATGCAGAGTCCTGGCATATGTATATGGAAGACCTCCCTGGGACCTGGGTCTTAAGAGACACTTTTTTGGTTATATTATAACAAAACAAAACACAAAAAAACCAAAACCACAGAGAAAGCCCAGGGAACTTGCGACCTTGGCCTATGGACTTGTGTAGTACTCTATGAACTGAGCTTAACGTAATCCTGCTTGTTGGTCCCATGCAAAGCTCTACCCGAGACTCCTCAAGTTAGACTACTTAGCAGCTTTTTTTGTGAATGGTTTAAGGATCACATGACTCTGGTGGTTCAGACAACAGCGGCCTTACTTACACAGACGTAGCAGAACTCAAGAGGAATGTGGGCTTACCCTCGGGTATTCAGTGTTACAGCGCTGGATAGTCTTGGTTGAACCCTGTTCTAAGGATGACGGGCGAACAGACACCATACCTACTTGCTTTGAACAAACTGACACTCCTTCCCTCTTCCATCACGTGCAAGAGCTGGCAAGACTTTTGATTAAGGATGAGTTCTCCAGGGCGCCTGGAGAGGGAGATCAGGACCTCGAAAGTGGGGTGCAGAGTTTTTGAATGGGGCGGTGCATAAAAGCTCAGAGCACTCAGCAAAGCAGAGCTGACGCCTTTCCAACGGGAACAAGGAAAACTGTTTAGGATGAACTCCACCCCTGTCCCAACTTTCCACACTTGGCCATGCGGGAAAATCTCAATAACTTAATTGGATGGTCCATAGTTTGAGTTTTGCAAATGATATGAGTTTTTTTTTTTTTTTTTTTTTTTTTTTTTTTGTTATTTTAAATACTCATGAAACATGGAAACAAGGGAGTTTAAGAATCAGAAACCCAAAGAAAAGATCGACTTGCAGTAACAGTCCCTCCAGTGAGGAGTTTTAAGATGCAGTCTGTTTTTAACCGCTCTCAACTCTGTCCCCTTCACGGGGAAGTCTCTCTCTCTGCACGTATATGTGCGCCGTTGCTGAGAAAGCTGCTTGGTTCTCCCTCACACTCTCTTCCTGGGCAGACTGACCCATGGAGTCCTGACACCCTGGCCACCTACAAGGATCACTTAGACTAAGGCAAAGCCCGGCCATGCTGTTTCTGGCTGTCTTTCCTTTTTGTATGGTTTCATCTGTCCTGAGGAGAAAGTAAGCTAATCACAGGACTCCAGCTCTCTCTGGAGCCGTCACCTAAGCCACAAATGTTCTCATTTATCAAATCTCAAGATGCATCCGAATCATTGCGCTAAGGAAACCGATACCCAGAAACAGGAGCAGATAGGACCACAGTCGCTTGCCAGTTAACTACAGATCACTGGAGGATGGCAAGCTGGGATAGCCTGAGCTTCCATCCTTTGAACATCTTACAAGAAACAAAAACAAATGAACTTTTTGGATCTCAACAACTGTCTATGAGGATGCTTCATTCTATGGCGTCTGTCTGGGGCACCCCTCGTGCTTTATGGCATGTTGCTGACCTTCTGAATGCCATGGGTTAGGTACTGCACCTCTGGGCTGCATCTAATTTAGCACGTAGCAGGGTAAGGGGCCATCTGTGTTACATAGTCTCCTGTACCCGGAAAACGCCCAAACCCCTTTTACCATCACCTCTGATATGGTAGGACTACTGAAATAAAAAATAATTACAAAAGCCTAATATCTAGTCAAGAAAGTGAAATATTTAAAAACAACAACAACAATAATATAATGATAATAATTGAGGAATGAAGTCAGCTTGCAAAAAAAAAAAAAACATCTTTTACAGAGAAATAGCACCTTTGGTTAAAAAAAAATGTGTTTTAAAATTTTGGTTAGGTCTCCATGGCGCTTGAAGTACATTAAGAATTTGCATCATTTAAACACACCCTCTAGGAAACTCCATCCGAGTCTGAGGGACACAGGGAACCAGTGGGACGGGTGTGTGTTCAGGTGATTTTTGGGACCAACAGGAGGCGCATGTCACGGTGACAGATGACAAGGGTCAAGGCAGCAGGGTTTCTCTCCATTGCCTCCCCCTAACACCGCACGCTGCTCTTCCCGTTGCCCCCTCACAGCTGCTGTGACCCGGAAAGGCTTCATTCAGACCTGGGTCTGCGCCTCTGCCATCCTGGTGAGGTTCCCTTACCTGGTCCCCCCTCCCCCTCGCCCCAAGGTGCCCTTTAGTTTCTCTTAAAGCGCTTCTAGAAATGAAGGCTGTGGCCTTCCCTTGCTAACCAGCCACCCTCATTTCCTTTATTGCAAAACAAACAAAAATAGGATTCACGGCCGTACAAGCAAATACTGGTGATTTGGTGATCGCTGCGAATGCTCCTGTATGCCGGGCTCAGCGCTGAAGAGGTGCTGCGCTCCCGACACGGTGCTCCGCGCCTCCTCTTAGATCTCTTTGGTGTTTACCTTCTTGATCTTTTCAGCGGTTTCCTTTGAGACGTGAGAGGAAATAATCATCATAAAGATATTAAAGAGTTGATAGCGTTTATCGAGGCCCCAAGATGGCCTCATAGCACCGTAGCCACGTGATTATGCTAGATTTTAGGTGTTTAGTTGCATGGTTCCTCCTTGGGCTACATCCAGTCTGTGGCATGGTCATTTGGGGGTGGTCTACGGTATTAGCCGCTGACTCTATGTGAGCATCTGATGGTAGCTTGTGACTTGCATGTTATTGTCTCAGTTATAAGGATAAAAGGACACCAAAGAGAAGATGCTTTGAATCCACATCTCACAGAAGTATTAAGAGCAATAGGTCCCACAGGTGCACATGTCCGGGCTTGAATTTAATTATGCAACTTTCCTAGCGTCCTTGGGAATATTTTCAAATCTACATCTTAATGTCTTCAACTATAACATGAGGGCAATACCATGCCACGAGTTACAATGGTGCCTGACACATTCCTCCAAAGATGTTCAGATAGCCAGTAAGGATAAAGATGTTAACACTGTTAGACAGTAGAGCAATGCAAATAAAAACACAACGAGGTCCCATTACACATCCGGTAGGTCAGATGAACTAAAGAACAGTAGTAACAAATGCTGGGATGGATTGGAAGAAAATGGAGGAAGTGTAATGAATGGTGTTTGGAAAGCAGTCTGGCAATTCCCTAGAAAATAATGTTCTTTTGGAGGTATACAACTTACCCTTGTTCATTCAAATGTTGATGTCTCTACCCCACTATCTGGTTTCAATCCAGACCTTGCATTGTGATGCTTAGTCTAAACATCACCTGTCTCAAGTTTAAACAATCAGCCCCAATGCTGAGAAATGGAGAGGATAGGGTAGGACATCCTGGTCCAGAGTGGGAGGAAGAGGAAGGAAGCAGGGGGAAGAGGAGAAGACTTTGCAGGAGAGGTCTTGGAGCCATGTGGAGAAATGAACCGGACCCAAGATATGACTGAAAGCAAGTATAATGGCTGAAATCTGAATGGAAGGAAACTATGCGGGTTTGGAGGTTTAGGATGGAGTAACTCTTGTGCAGCATTGTGCTCTAGGTTAATTAAATAAATCTCAGTCTCTGTGTGGTGATTTGGGTATACAGCCTGTTTAGGAATAATTGCTGATTAACTAAAAGTTAAATCAATAATAAATATTAATAACTGTCAACACCCTAGGGATTAAACCCAGAATTATATTATGACTTGAGTTCTATCCCTAATATATAGGGGGAGTGAAAAACATATGTATCCATCAAGTATTGAATACACACACACACACTAGAATATATGTGGAATTATACTTACATAAAGAGGAATGACATGGATTCATGCTACACGCATGAACCTGAAAAGCATTATGCTAAGGGTAAGAAGTCAGACGGAAAAGGGTCCTTCTATATGACACGCCCAGACCAGGCACATGTACAGAGTCAGGAAACTGCTGACAACAGTGGCTGGCCTCTATGAGACACAGCTGTTCTTCCACGTCCAGCTGCCTTGCACTGACTGTTTCCAAGTGAACACTGGTTGACTTCTCACTGCCTGCACCTGCATCTCTGCCTCAGGCCTTTCTCTGATCTTAGGAGTCTACTCTGCCCACACATGCTGGAGGACAGAAATGCTGAGAATCACTTCCTGATAGCAGCTCTCAGGTGATGGCTGATGGAAGGTTTTCTAGAGCTACCCCAGCCCCTCCCACCTCGTTCACGGTAACTCTGTATCAGAGTTTGATGGAATAGGTGAGGTGGCACCATTTGGGATCTACTGTGTTGAACGAAGTGTGTTTCCCTCATCGCCTGGGGCGCTGGGCAGCTTTTCAGTGGTTGTTAAGAGTCCAGTAGCAACAGCAACATCCAAACCAGCCAGCACGGTGGCTGACACTCACCTGGTGCTTCTGGAGTCCCTGGACATACCTGGTCGTCTCCTCCTCTCTCTGGGTCTGGACCCCCTTCTGATTCTTTCCTGTAAGAAGAATCAGAGTTCAGAGATGTGGGGCCGTGGTAAGCCAGGGAGGATGATACCTAACAGACTCCCATTTGCCCTGTGGAGGGAGAGCTGGACCACCCGCCTTTCTCTGAGTATTGAGGCATCTAAGGTAATACAAGCAAGGAATCTATCCTGATCCTCTGGCTTCTGCTCCTGCTGGTCCCTTTAATTCACACCCACAAGACAAGCTAGCCCCATAGAAAAGCAATGGTGACAATCCAGCTCCAGGCTCCAGGCTCCAGGCAATTCCTCCGGGGCATGCCCTCAGCTGTTCCCACACTTTCATAAAGTCCCACGGAACATTTGCAAATGTAAGTTCTGGCTCAGAATGTAGTTCATTGGCAGAGTGCTTGCCCAGCATGCAAATCCTGCCCATCCCCCCATGTTCAACGCCTAGGACTGAAAAACAAAGAAATAAATCCAAACCGCCTGGCTTTTACCTGTAGAAATCTTGCTGTGATTGATTGGGGTGAGAGGTAACGGGGTACCAGAAGTTTTGCTTTTTAGAGAGTTCTCTAGGTAGTTTAGCACACCCAGGGTTGATAACTACTACAGCTAACAAATATTTCTCATGTACAGAGATAAAACCGGTAAAAACAAAAACAAAAACCCCAAACAAACAACCAAACAAAAGACAAAAGCCCTACACAAGATTGTAGCTTGAAATCTAGAAGGTCTGGAAGGGTGCCCGGGAATCCATTTACTGAACACAGTATTGAACAGTAGACACTGATAGGAGTCTGTCCCTAGTAGCCACTTCTCACGGCCCTGGCCCTTTTGGGCATTATCTCTGTGCTCTTGCTTGTTCATGCCTTTGAGATTTGTGACCTAAGATGGTTCTCTTCAGTTTCCTCTTACATTACGGCCTGTACACCAAGATGTGTAGAGGCCCCACAGACCGAACTTTCTGGGAGAAGGCCATACAGTCCACAGCGTGGCTATGGAAACAGACAGAGTCTCACGGGAGTGATATCTTGTTTGTTGCACTGTGACTGGACTTGTGATCCAGACGGTGGTGTTCCGTAAGTCAGCACACACTGACGCCTGCCTCTTAGAAACGGAGGAGGAATACCTTACAAAGCCAAACAAGAGCAGTTCAGTAGATGGAAGGGAGTTTGGGGAAGATAAAGAGCGGATGCTCCCTGGTTGAGGCCGGCTGGGTCCCTGTTTAAACACGCCCTCTGATGGCTTCAGTAGCTACTGTGTGTGCACTTGGCTATCCGTTCCAGCACATCTGTTCCTACAGTTAGGTTGGGCACCTACTCTCTCTTGCTGATGCCAACTCGGTCCTAGGAAGGTTACTGAGCCTATGGATAACATTGGTTTCCGTTACAGCATTGGTATTTTGGGCTCCTTGGCCAGCATGCTTTTCTGGGTCTTCGATTATTGTCTCTCATTCCCCATCTTACCTGATATCTCTGAACGTAATATTAAGTACCAACTTTTTCATGCCCCAGCTAGCTTCTTAAAGCATAACCTCAGGGTCACTCCTGCAGGTGAAACTTTTAAGTCTGGTTCTAACTGACCTTTCTTTTCACGCTCAGTCACATTCTGGACCTGGCCTTAACACCCTTTTCTGATTTGCTTTCATCTGGCTCTTTGCCTGAGCCTGGCTTTGATGTAAGTTCCCTCTTGATCTCTAGCATGACTGTAGCTTAGGTCCCTGATGGGACATGAGTGGTTCTAACATACTCTTTGACCTCTGTTCTGCCTCCCAAACTCCTGACACCTACATGTCCCCAATTCATCTTGCCCATGGCTCAACGATCTTAAATTTTACATTTCTTTTATTTGCTTTGTTCTACATGGTATGGCAAGGTACATCATTTTGACTTCTGACCACCTGACTCTTTTATATATAGTATTTCCTTTCATGTCATAAGCATTAAGCTGGTTAGCATGCAAAGACCGTGGAAGCATGCTGGTACATTTCTCCCACGTTAGTGTTTTCTTGCAGGATGATCATTTCAGGCTCGTCCTGACACTTCTTTGCGCTTTGGCTCACCACTCCCTCTCCTCTGAAGCCTCTGGGGTGGTTGTCACACCTGACTCTTCTGGAACAGTTCTTCACCCACAGTGCTCCCCACCGGGGAAACTGCGAGTCTGCCGTTTACTTCCAGTCCCTGGTCTTTCTTTTTCCCATTGTGCCCACACCACCTTCTCCCGTGCAACTCACAGCACTGCTCCTTAAGTATGGCTCACCATCACAAGTCATTGCCGTGCAGACCCAGTGTCCACAGGAACAGACACAGCGATTGCAGTCCACCTCGGTCTCGGCTCCATCTGCATAGGTCTCGTCCTCCAGGGCACACTCTGTCGGACGATGATAGGAAAGACAACAGTTGGGACATGACGGAGGGACGGGGTAGTGTCTTTGGAACGGCCTAGGCACTTACACGTCCCCCTTCTCAGACAAGGACACTGCCTTGTCTCTCCTGGGCAAATGCACCATAAGCTTACGGCCTTAACCTCATCATGGAGATGGGCTGGTGACAACCTAGTTTCATGGGTGGGGCCTAGCTCAGTTATCTCTGGAGGGTTCTACCAGTTCTTTCCGTCTTGCACCTTCCTTCCCTGCAAGGCTCCCAAACCCCAACAACACTCAGTTTCTGGGTTAGACATACTCTTCTCTGGAGGGTTGAAGGCCGGGTTGAGGCACTTGAGGAACTCCTGGAAGCTCAGTTTCCAGTCAGCATTCTCATCAGACAGTTCAATGAGAGCATCAACACAGAGTCCCCTGAAACAAAATGGGAGAAATGTCATCAGCAAAGCCTTGGCTTCGTCCCTAGGAAAGGAAGTAAGCATCAAGCTCAGAGACACCTGAAGCCCCAGGCAAGGTGACTGCTCATGAAATGCCTGTCCTTTGACCTGCCACACCATTACCCAGTAAACATCCCACCTTCAGCTTATTAGACTGGACACCAGATCACTCAAGCTGTTCAAATGCTCCCCGAAGACAACTAACGTTTTGTGAATAGTTTTGTCCACCTTGATTAACGAATGATCTCACTATTTGCAGGCCTTCCTCCCTTGTAATTTGCTTTTTCTTGTGGTGTGGCTGTCAAGTCAACCAGTCCAGAAAAATCAGAGCAGAAGAGAGATGATCGATGGCATGAAAAGGAAGTTAAGACTTGAAAGAATCTTAAGCTCGGGCGAGAACCTCCAGCATCACCATTCTAGAGAGTTCTCTGAGAAGTTTCACAGAACCTTGGCTTTATCTCCTCTGTTGACTAAAACTTTGTCCCTGAATCAGCAACTTCCTACTCAAATGGCCTTTTGGAGTTTATTTTCCTTAAGGTCAAAAACTATGGCTAGGGAGAATCACAGAAACTACATGCTGAACTTGTTTTGGACAAAAGAGAGGCTCCTTTTCCGGGTTTAATTCTTACTGAGATTCTAATACCACACCAGTTTATTTTTGGTTGTTAGTATTTATCCTAAGATAATACTGAAAGGATATACACTCGTAACACTTACGAATCGGCATGGAACAGCACAGACCAGCTTAAATACCAGGAACAAAGTGACTTTGGGTTTACAACTAGAGAACACATTAGCACAGTCCCTTCGGAAGATCAGTAATATAACATCAGTTGCCCCCCGACCCCAGAAGAAATATAGGGAAGACATTACCTTGATAATTCATTCTAAAATCACATTCTTTTATCCTTGCAAGTTCTGACCCCCAAACAATAGCGGCTTTATAGCCCAGTTTTATGATGTTCATTCACACTGGAACTGGCAGCTCCTTTGTTGTTGGAAGGGGTTCAAAGCCCCTGTCTCAGGCAACCTTCCCTGGGGACCATATGCCCAAGCCCTCAGCCCTCACCTGAGCAGTTTGTTGTTCTCTTGGTCGGCGTAAGTGGTGATGTTGAGGGCTGTCTCATTCTGTTCCACAAATTTCAGGAATTCACTGGAGTCCAGGTGAGAGTCACCATTATCGACACTCTGGAAAGAGATGAAGAGATCTCTCAGGGATGTTTAGGGATCCCCAGTTTTATTGGTGCACCCCCTGGCCTGACCTCTCAGTTCGTCTTATTCTTAACACACTCCAACCCTATCCTAGCCTGGCCCCAGGAACTAAAGCAGTAATGGCTCAGATCACGGGGCACCCAAACTAGGAAGGAACACTCCAGGACGAGTAAGTGGAAGTGGCTGGACAGAAGCCATCGGGGTTTTTCTTTTACTATGGATCCTGCTCAGGGGGGCAGCCTGAACAGATGTCATAGGAAGACTCTGTGACCCAGTCCCTGATACCGTCCTTCAGACGTGGATTCAGATGATTGATGACGTCATTGTCTCACATCCTAATGGACACCTAGCAAGGTGAGGCATGATAAGCAGTAAATTGGAAACTGGGAGCTGAAGCCCAGGGTGTCTGGATCTAACAGGCTTCTCAGGGGCAGTGGCAGTACTAGTGGTCTCACAGGGACTCACAGGAGTCTAGTTTGTTGTTTAAGATCAGCCTCCCTCCTCCTCCGCCCTACACTGGGGCCCAGTGCTGTTGTGTGCACAGGTCCTCAGGCTACAATGTACAGGCTGATGACCTGCTAGCACCCCAAGAACAAGGGTTGGCAAGGTCAGGCATTATCCTCTCCAAAGCAAGATGCTGAACCAAGACCTCGGCCATCTGGAACCATTCAAGATGCCCGAGCCCTAGCAACAAGAGGAGGCATCAATTGGAATGTTTAGATCAAATTCCATGTTGGCTGTTGCTGCTACCCTCACTAGGTCCAGTGGTACCCCGGATCAGCATTTCCATGGTACCTTCAAGTTGGTTCCTTACATGGTGAAAGAGAATCTGGAAGAAATGCCTGCCTTGACTGCTAGGCAGGGGCAAATATAGCCATTTTTTTCTCCTCTCATGGCTGCCATGTGTCACATGTAAAACTTCCATGGCAAGTACAATGAAGAGAATACATGAAACAACCATTAAACCTCTGCTTAGGACCTGCACATCCCTCTTGTCCTGATTCTCGGGAACATCTCCTAGACATTCTTTATTCACTCACTGGTACACTTCCCCTGAGCAAACCTCCCAATAATCCATTTGCGAGGGTTTGGATTAATCAAAGATTCGAAGTTCAATAAACTTCATCAGGGAGCATTCTGGAGGACCAAAGAGCTTTCCTGAGGAAAACTAGCAAACCCTGCCATCTGGCTAACGACAAGAGCGCGTGTAGGGGAACGGTCCCACAGTGGCTGCACAGCCATTGACTGGGCACTCTGGGCCTGGCGCTACGATCCAGTGCGCTCTCAAATGTCAATGCTTTGTGTGCAGTGTCAGGGAAGCAGAGTGCAGGCCTGAAACTAAGGGTGCATCTCAGCTGATGGTAGTCTCATCTCCTAAGTCTAAGTAACTAACCAGGCGCAAAGGCCCGGTACTCCCTCATGCCTGTCTCAGGAACAGTAATGTTTTTATTTGGATTTTAGGATTGTAGAAAGGAAGGAAGACGAATATTTTGAGACCCATGCTTGGGAGTCATCCCTGTATGTTGACATGGTGTTCCGAGGAGATGGGTTGCGACAGGCATTCACACATGAAGCAGCCTGGGGCAGTGAGGTATGTGATGCTAGGGGTCGGGGAGGTAAGAGGGCTGGCTCCTCTCAGTCTCAGCTTGCAGGAGCCTCCCACCTAGTGCCACAAGGTATGAATCGCGTGGGTATGGAAAGCTCTCCCCACCAGGCTCCCTTTTTATTCTGTTTTGTGCTCATCAAAGAAATGGACTATAAGGAGGAGAGAGGCAGTTTGGACCGTCCTCAGACTCTGATTAGATCTGCCATTCAGCTGTCTGGCATGAGGAAAGCCAGCCGAGTTGGAAAACTAGGCTCTGGCTGGCACAGGGAGGTCTCTCTGAGACATCAGATCTCTCACCTACGGGCAGCTGTGGAGCTGATTGGACGGCATCTCTCTTGCATGTCTAAGAAGAGGGGTTTTCGTGTTTGTAAGAGGTGAGCAAGTTTTCTGAGTTGTTAGAATGCCTCAGAGAAAAGCTGCTTTCCCAAGCGGCCATGCTATGGCTTGGGTACTTGGCAATTGAATTTAATAGCAGGTATCAGAAATGTCTGAGGCAAGGTGCCATCTACAAATGGCTACAAGATCCCAAGTGGCCCTTTGGAAGTAGTGTCATGTGCCCAATTAGTTCCACACTGTAGGGATAGGATAGAGACACTATTCACAATCAGCCTTGCAGACACTACCCATTTGTCTTCAGGAAAAATAATTAAAGCGACGTTTATTTTATTTATTTATTTGTATGTATGTATGTGTATGTGAGACTGTCACGCGAGAACATGCCTCTGAAGGTCAAGAGTTCCTGGATATCAAGGTCAGGCCATCAGAGTTGGCAGCCAGCTAGCCCCAAATCATTTTCTTCAAGTTACTCTCTGCTCCTGTCTGACTCTCCTGCTCAGCAAAGTGATGTTGTTTTCCATAGAAGAGGCCTCACCCGTGTCTTCCATGCTGTGCTCTGTGAGAATGGCTGAGACACTGCATGCAGAGAGTGGGAAGAGCCACACTTTCTCTCGGCATAATATAAAAAACTGGCAGTCCAGAGTTTAAATCTCTGCCATAGTAGAGAAAACTTCTATCTAATAAGAATAATACAGTTGAGGCCTTAAGTCAGAAGTCCTCACCCTATAGGTTGGGACCCCTTTGGGGTTGCCTAAGACCATTGGAAAACACAGATCTTTACATTACAATTCACAACAGTGGCAAAATTACAGTTATGAAGTGGCAACAAAAATTATTTTATTATTTGGGGGCAGGTCACCGCAACACAAAGAACTGTATTAGAGGGTCTCGGCATTCGGAAAGTTGAGAACCACTGCCTTAAATGATCAAATGTCTATTCCAACCCAAACCAGCATCTCTTCACTCGGAGGTGTCCCTACAACGCCAGCTAAAGAGCACAGACCAGGTCGGTATAAAACATGTCCGGGTGGCCCGGGCTTCCGGGAAGTCTCTTGGATGGGTGGAGCTACTCTAAGTCCTGGCTGGCCAGCTGTAGGGACAGCAGGCTTTGCGAGCACACGCTGGAGTGGGCATCCAAGGTACCGACCTCAACGCATGTCTTCAAAGTGCAGGGTTCTTTGTGCTTCTGTGAGGATTCGGTGCCTGAACGTGTGACTGAGTGTAGGAAGTGTCTGTGACGGGTCCCTGCGTGTCTGGAATATTGTAGGTACGTGCTTACATTCTCGCCAACTACCTAGCAGAGTGACCTAGAGTCACTGGCTTCTTCCAATGGCTCTCTGGGTTCCAGAATGATCTCCATGTACAGTGCCCTTAACCATTGCCAAATACAACTTCCTCACTCATTCCCCCTTCAAAAGCAGTATCTGAGCCTCCAATGGAACTGTCCCTTCTACTTGATACGTTAGACAGCACCTCTACTTGGATTGTGAACTATCTCCAGTCCCACATGTTCCTTGTCTCTCCTCGGAAGAAGAAGCTGTGAACGGCCAGGTTAGTGGCACGGAGCCATGGCGAGCTGGAGCCATGGCAAGCTGGGCAGGAAAGAGGCTGAGGGGATCTGGTATACCGGAAGGTGCTCTGTAGCAGCTTCCGAAGTGTTACACAGGGCAGGAGAGAGCCTGGCCACATTTCCTGTGACAGTTCCTTGAGACCTTGGTGGTTTTAAGTGCTCAAAGGGAGCAGCTCATGACGTAGCATCCCAAATGTCAACTACTGCCCCGCCCCTGCAGATCACAAGGCAGCTTTCACAGCTACGGAAAATAATGCTCAGGGACTGTAAAGGGACTCTGTCTCTGGGCAGTCACACAAGAGACTGTGTGACTCAGTGCCCCTCTTCTCGAGGACTGAGCACTGTTGACCTCAGCCCTGAGTACCTTAAAGTACTTGTCCAGGATCTCACTGTAGTTGCTGCCTTTAGAGAACCAGCCGTCCGGAATGATCTCAGCTTCCAGCCACTGGATGATGCGACGCCGGAGCTCGTCACGGTTAGCTTGATAGCAGACAACTGCCGGGAGGGGAGGGATGTGAAGTGGGTGTGAGGAGGAGGACCCTGGGGTCATCAGCGCCCACTGCCCGGAGTCCAGAGCCACTCAGTTCCGTGGGTCCTCACAGCACCCAGGGGGCAGGATTATCGCCCCCAGAACAGAAATGTGTCTACCCCAGGAGTCACATTCACCCGGATAAAACACCCAGAAGGACTGGAAGAGCAGTTTCGCAACCCTCTTGAGGTCACTATCAGATATCCTGCATACCAGATAGTTACACTTCACTTCATAACAGTAGCTAAATTACAGTTACAAAGTAGCAACAAAATAATTTTATGGGTTGGGGGGTCACCTCAGTTGAGGGATTGTAATAAAGGGTTGCAGCGTTAGGAAGGTTGGGGGCCACTGGACCAGAAACTCGAGATAGTGGTGAAACAGAAGAGTTGTTATTTTAAAAAAAAAATAAGAAAGAAAAACAAAGGACATTTTCATAAATATTAAAGAGCAAGGAAGAAAAAAAAATCACACACTGAGGTAACTCTCTTGGCTCTGAGATGAGCTGAAAGTATTAATGCATCAATAAATGAAAGCATTACAATTATTCATGCTGCTGGAGGGCTGATATCCTCCCTTTCTCACCAACTGAACCTTTTGAAAACTTTTCTCCCATTAGCCTTTCTTATAAACAACAGTAAACAAGGCCAAGGAGGGGCTGTGCCTCGGCCCTGCTCTGGCCGGCTGTTACAAGCTGTTCGGGAGGAACAGATGTGAGTCAAGCAAGGCAGAGAAAGCAGGGTGGAGACAGCTCTGGCCAAGAGAAATTCCTGGAAGACAGCATTGGCTGGGCGGTGAAGAGGGCACAGGGCCAGGGAATGAGCATACGGGCCTTTGCAACTCTGCCCCTCCTAGCTTTACGGAACGGCCTTAGTTCTCTGAGGCTTTATACCTTAACTCTACGGTAGTTACAGTGAGACCTGCAAGACGGCAGTGAAATCTGGGACTATAAACGCCTTGGGATTTTAATACATTTTAATAGACAGCTACGGCCGTCGCCATACTGGCATTTCCAACTCTCCTCTTTCAAAAAGAGCCCTGTCTGCGGATTTCACTGCGCCTGAAGGAAGGGCTCAGTGGCTGTCCCTATTTTGCTGTCACTACTCGGCAAAAATGCGGAACAGCCAACATTCACATCCAAACATCTGCTTTGACGGGCAGACACCAAAACAAACGGAACATTTTTAAAACACAGTTTTGTGGCTTTCCTGAGCTGTGCTGTGCTCAGACCAGATCTGGATAAAAAGTCCTGATCCCACAGAAGATCCTGGCAGCTTGCTGGGGACATGGAAGACAAGATGTTTGCTCTACGAAAAGTCACACACACACACATGCACATGCACCCTGTAGAAAGGTCAGGCACTTACCGGGGCTGGCAGATGGACTCACAGACTTCTTTTCTGCAAGATGAAAGAACAAGTGTAACGCAAAGTGAAAAATGAAAGAAAATGTCTGTTTCGAGGGTGAAAACTGTAAAGTCTTGCAACCTTGTCAGCATTTCACCTTAAGTTCTTTCTTTCTTTCTTTTCTTTCTTTCTTTCTTTCTTTCTTTCTTTCTTTCTTTCTTTCTTTCCCTCCCTTCCTTCCTTCCTTCCTTCCTTCCTTCCTTCCTTCCTTCCTTCCTTCCTTCCTTCCTTCCTTCCTTTCTTTCTTTTCCCAGGGTTTGTTTCTTTTTATTTTATGTGTAAAATAAAAAGGTGTTTTGCCTGCATTTATGTCTGTGCACCACTGTGTATGCCTGGTACCTGAAGGTCAGAAAAGGGGATTGGATCTCCTAGAACTGGAGTTACAGATAATTGCTATCTGCCATGTGGGTGCTAGGAACTGAACCCAGTTCCTCCACAGGAGGAGCCAGTGCTTTTATCCACTGAGTTATCTCTGGGGCCCCCTGCCTTAAATTCTTCTGTCCTTTTCTTTTCTTCCTGTTGGGCCTAAGGATGGGATCCTTCCTGCTTACAGACAACGATTGCCCTTCTAGATTTATATTTCTTCCTGCTGGATTGAGCAGTCCCTGGGATTTTGAAATTTCATATGGAGGCTAATTCTTCAAAGGGGAGTGTCTGGGATAAAGTTTTGTGTTTTTCCAGGGAAAGTCAAGGATGGAATGTCTGGGCAAGCCCTAGACTTGGAAAAGTCTGGTGACTAATATACAATCATGCTTGAAAAGTCCATCCTTCCAAACCCTGATCATGATGATGACCGTACAAAGTCAAGGAAGTATATTACTAGGCTGAGAAATGCCCAAATTTTAAAAGCAGGAAATGGAGAAATTTTCCAAAAGGTGAGGACGTCCTTTAAGAAGGACCTCTCACCATTGTGGATTCTTGATGTAGTCATCCTAGCTACTCTCCGATGGCAGATGATGCTGAAGGCAGGCCCAAGTCTGACGCAGGAAACACAGGGCAAAGGCCCAGTCAGCCAGGTCAAAGCCAGCAGGCTTATGAGTGTTCGGAGGGAGCACCTCCAACCATCAAGGTGCTCTCCCCAGTTCTGGGTAGCTGTGGACTTGGTGAAGCGGTTGTGTGTTCAGCAATGTCACGCCGGTCTAGTTTCTGCCTCTGTCTCCCCATCGCAAGGCCCGCCCATCCACTGATGACAGCGAGCCTTACCTTTGCAGTGTCCGTCATATTCAACCTGGACCTTGGATCCAGTGAGGCAGGCGTCTCTATGAAGTTCACAGTGGTTGAGGTAGGTCTTGCCATTACTGCCACACACAGGCCTCTTGTGAGGTTTGCATTGCTGAAACAGATCAGCAGGAGGGTGTTTGTGTAGCCGGGGAGGCTAGAACATGCGCTCACATGAGCACTCACTCAGCCATCTTGTCAGGTGGCTCCCCACAACAGAGATGGAGCCTGTTGGTCACCAGGGCCCAGGGAACCCCAGTTCTGGTCATCATCAGTGACTCTGCTCCATTCAAAACAGGAGGCACCCCACTACCCCGACGCCTGCACGTGGCTCTGTCCATCCTGGTCCAGTGCCATTTTTTCAATACCCTGCTGTGGCTGAAATATTTGTAGCGCACATATCCCCAGTGCGATAGCGCAAAGAGGCGACGTTTTCATGACGGGAGGAGGCTACCAGCGCTCCTTTCTCACAAACAGAATTCAGGCTTTTAGAAAAGGGGTTTCACACAGCATTTAGCCCTTTTGCCCTTTTATCGTTTCCATGTGAGAATACAGTGTTCAAGCATTCATTTCCACATAGAGACCTGGCCCTCACCAGACATTAAGGAATTTGTTCTGATCTTGCATGCCCAAAATTGGGAGAAGTACACAACACACACACACACACACACACACGCACACGCACACGCACACGCACACCAATTCTTCCAGGGCCTAATTACAAGGGTTTTTTCCTTTTCTCTAGTATTTGAGTGCCATTCAGCTTTTGACCTGATTTCACAACTGTTGCTGAAAGGCTGACCATGAGGGTGAAAGACTACAGGAAATCATTCTGGACAGAAAAATGGAATAAAGTTCATTAGGCTTTATGACTACGGACGCTAGATGTATAAAAACAAAAGAACAGGGTGAAAAGAACTAGAGTCCTGAGGCAGGAAGTGAATCCAGCAGCTCCAGTTTATACATGAAGACACCCAAGGCAAAACAGGTGAACCTCATTTATTCATTCTGCCAACATTTTTTACTATGTTTTGGGTGCTGAGCAAAACCCACACAAGCTTATCTCTACAGCAGCTCCTGGGAATTTGTTTGCTCAAAATCACATAATTACCTGAGGACAAGTTGAGACTAGAGGTCAGATTTTTAGTCTAATTAATGCTACCACATTAATTAGTGGACAGCACCCTCCCAGCATAGACCTCCAGGGTGAAGGGATCCTAGTAGGCTGAGGTTTTAAGTTTCAAGTTGGTACATTTTTCCCTTCAGATGCAATGAATCAGGGTTCAGAGACTAAAAGGGTATTATTTATAAAAGAAAAAAGCCCACTTCCAGGATATGGGCATCTTGATAGAAGGGAGAAAAGCCCATGGCCTGTGTATTTACATTCACATTAAGAATGAAAATTTAGGGGCTGGAGAGATGGCTCAGTGGATAAGAGCGCTGGCTGCTCTTCCAAAGAACCCAGGTTCAATTCCCAGCACCCACATGGCAGCTCACAGCTGTCTGTAATCCTGGCTCCAGGGGACCTGACGCTCTCAAGACAGACATACATGAAGGGAAAACACCAATGTACATAAGATAAAGATAAATAAATAGTTTTTTAAAAAAGAATGGAAATTTATTAAAGCATTGCCTATTTCTCAAAGGCTCATTTTGCCTTTCAAATGCCATTTAAAAACAAAACTTCAAAGCCCACATTCTGTCCAACAATTTAAAACTTTGCATATCTTTGATCCAACAGGCCCGTGGTGCCCATCAATTCTAAGAAATAAAGGATATTTGCAAAAGGGTTCAAGTGTTGTGGTGGTAAACCGTCCAGAGAAGCACTTAAATGGCCACCTCTAAGGAAATGAATGAACACATTTCTATCACTAAATATTATTCGGCTTTTTAAAGAAAAGTGAGTTAAAAGTCGTTGTTGATCTGGGAGGCTGTCACAGCACACCAAAGACTGCAAAGTACAAATTGCAGAAATAGTATTGTGGAAATAGTATTTTGCATAAAAGGGAAACCCTGGTGTTTAGAAAAGTTGTTAATGCCAGTAACCTCAGACTAATGAGAACTGAGAGTTGTTAGTACAAATGTCTAGATACCTACACTATTTGACACAAAAACAGCTTTTAAATGTAAAAGCTGTTTTAAACTGAAGGAAAAAAAAAGGAACTATTTATTCTTACAGAGTCTCCTCAGGACGTTTTTTTAAAGACACTTTTTCAAGGTACCCAACGTGACGTGACAAGCATACTTGTGACTAGTCATGGCTACTTCCGGTCATCAGTGGAATTAAAAAAAGAGAGTTCAACTTTCCCAACCACTGCCTCAAAGGACGGACGCATGTTGGATTCAAATGGAAAGTTAAACAGTTCTTGCTACTTCAGACCCAGAGAGTTGAATTCAAACATCCATCAAGAAAAACAAAGAAACCCAAAACTCAGAAAAACAAACAAACAAAAACAACAAACAAACAAACAAAAAAACCGACGACAGATTTGAAACTAGACAAAAATTTTCGATGTCTATCCTCTTTCTTGGCTCATAGTCCTCTTGGCTACCGTCCATCCTTCCTCACCGATCACCTCATTGGACACTTATTACCCCCTCTGCCTCATTTTACCTTTCCGACTGCTCCCTCCGCTGTATCTCTTTACATTGTATTATGGTCTAGGATGTTTATATGAGAGAGAACATGCATTTTGTTTTCCTTTCCGAGTCTGAATCGCCTCACTTAATATTATACCTTCTAGGTCCATCTGCTTTCCTACAAATCTCATTTTTCTTTCCAGCCGAATATAACTTCATTGTTGTCTGTGTACCACATTTTCATCATTCGTTCTTCTGCTGATGGACATCTAGACTAGTTCCATTTTCTTGCATACATAGACATACAGTCATTATATGATTATGATGGCGTGTGTGTATGTGTATAGAGGCCAGAGAGATCCGGACTGGGTGTTGTCCTTGGTTGCTTTCTGTATAGTTTTCTGAGCTAGTTCTCACTAAGTCTGGAGCTCATGATTTGACTAGAGGAATGGCTGGTCAATGAACTCCACAGATTTGTCCCCTATCCCCCAGTGCTGGGCTCACAGACTCTTGCTGCCACAGCAGGCCTCTGTGTGGGTCCTGAGGCTCTGAATGCAGCCCCCCCACAAACAGTCACCGCCCTCCAGCCTGACACCAGGACCTACCTCAATGCAGAGGCACGTGGGCTCGCCCTTCTCCGTGACTGCGCACTCCCGGCCAGCTCCACAAAACACGTTGGCGCAGATCTTGGATTTGCTCCTCGGTTCTTCCTGAAACACAAACCATCAAGGAAGCCGAGTTACTGAGATGATCCCGCCACAGGATGAAACATGGCAGTAATGACCTTTCAGGCTTTGGATTGTGGTCTGCCAACCATCAGCACCAAACTCACGGGCACTGTTCCGGCTCCGGTTCGGGCACCGGAGATTGTTGCCCTGAGAACAAAGAGTGACTTTCTTGCATTCTACCTCATTTTTATTAAGTGTATTGAGCATTTATGATAAAGCCAGCACGATGCTAAAGGCAGGCTTTGCCCTCATGAAGCCTGTGACTCTCAGGAGAACGCATTTAGAACACACGTGGAAACGCAGCAGCAGCGGTGGGCGCCCCGGGGAGCAGGCACGATGTGCGGGGGGAATCAGAAGTGGGCCTGTCTGACAATTCCACACCTTAACCGATGCTTTAAGGATGAGAAGATTAAGCTAGGAAGAAATGGAAACACCGGAGACACATCCAGACATCTTAACAGCAAGGGGTGCTCAGGGCAGTGCCATCTCAAAGGGCAGGAGAAGGGTGGCTAAAACGTGGAGATGCTGTTGTTTACTATTCGGCCACTGTGCGTGTGCCCCGGCTATAAGAGGATCAAACCACGCCAACGACAGCAGTGGCCCTCAAGCGTCTTGCTGGTCAGGATTTCTGCTCAGACAGATGTTACGGGACCACAGGTCTGTATGCCACACGGAAATGTGGGTTTGTTGGTGGCACCTTCTTTCACTCCCACTCGCTGGTGGTGGAGGGCCGGCCCCACCTCATTCACCACTCAACCCTGTCCTGTGGTAGTGGTGGATAAACAGAGACCAGGATGACTCCGGCCCCTCTGCCCTACTAGGTGGGGCAGGCTGAATTGCTGAAGGATTCCAGGCCTAAGACTACTGGGCTGGAGCGGACTACATAACAATACAGAAGGAAAACGCCCAGGAATGACTGGGGTAAAGGCAAAGTCCATTTTTCCGGCCGATGCCTACCGTGCCATCTAAAGAACTCATCCCTTAAAAGGGGTAACAAGAATAGCACACAGACAGACACACACACACAAAGTACAGGCTTGAAGGAGCTAAGATTGGGCCAAAATAGCTGCTCTGCTGCCACCTGGAGGCTGTTTTGCAAACTCCAGTTTATTCTTTTCTCCCATAAACCCGCTTGCCTGCCACGCAGAGATTTCATTGGTCTAGAACTCATTTTCATGCTCACATCTCATTGGCTTACATGGTGTTGCTAAACCATTTTTTTTAATGTTGCTAAGGAGAATTCAAAAAAAGCTGGCAGACAAGTGAAGAAAAAAAAAAAAAAAAAAAAAAAAAGTAATTCCCTGAAGGTTGGAGGACTGGATTTTGATCTGCTTCCTAAACAGAGATGGGAATAAAATCGAGCAAATTCTCCAGACAGACAGGGCCCTCCCTCTTGTGGGAGCTGTGCTCCGAGCATAAAGCTGGAAGGGAAGAGAAAGTGAATGCCCACTGTTGTAAAAGATGACTCCGGTGACCTCTTCGACCTCCCTGATCTGAACTCTAACCCCTGAGCCCGGCACAGGAGCCAGAGATGCACACAACAGTGAGCTTGGGCACATGTCCACGTACGTTCAAGTGAAAACTCAAAACGTTCCCTCGTGTGTTAACTAGTTCCTCTGCTTCTTCAAGCTGTGTATGGGAGAGAGAGGGAGGGAGAAAGACAGACAGACAGACAGACAAACACACACACACAGGAAGAGGGAGAGCGAGAGGAGGGCGGGGAGCGGGAGAAAGATGCGGTCAACGGTCGACGTTACAGAGCTGCTGCAGAAGGGCCTGCAGCGTTTAGAGCCTCATTTTTGTCTCGTGAGCGGTTATTGTTTGTCCCTTGTGTGTGGGAGGAGTGCACCTGTCAGGGCCTGCTTGTAAAGGTCAGAGGACAACTTGTGGGAGTAGGGGCTCTCTCTGTCCATCGGGTGGGTTCCAGGCTTGGCCACAAGTGCCTTTACCCAATGGGCCATCCTTCCCACCCCCTTTTGGTAAATATTACAAATAAAAACTGTCCTGTGGAGGCTGAATTCAGCACAAGTCGTTTGCGGAGGCAGTTCTCAAAACACACGCTTGGAGGAGAATACCTTTCTCTTACACACTGACAACTAATACTTGAAGAGCGCAATTAAAACCTGCAAAAATGTTTTCATAAACGTGATTTTACCTTACTGCGTGGCTAACTCAACCAGAACACATATATTAGTAGCTTCACTTTACGAATGAGAAAACTGAGGCTCCAGAGGTCAAATAATTTGCTGAAGGTCCCAAAACTAAAAAAAATAAATAAATTAGAGGAATCTCTATTTGGCTCACAGTGTGCCCATTCATAGACGCCTGACATTCTGCTAAATGACCTGCTACAAGTGAGGCAACTTCAGTGCTTTAGGTCCCTAATTCCAATGTCATATTATCCCTGTTGTACAGGTGAGGGAGTTGACCTTAGAGGCCCTGGAACAAAAGGTGACAGAGCTGGAGCTTCCTCCAGCCAAAGGGAAATGATCCCTCTATATTTATCTTTATTTTTAAATCCAGATGACTTAAGGATAGGGAAAACATAATGGGAATATGGACGAGAGAATAAAAAGTATAAGGAGAAAGTGCCAAGTGCGTTGGGCATTTAGATCTGATATGCAAATGTCATATCCAACCCCTCTTTATTTGCTGTGGTCATGAGCATGGGGTTATCTTGAAGCCTGTTTCCTTGAGTGCAAATATGAAATTTTGATGGTTAGAATTGTCTTGAAACTCAAATGAGATACAGTGTGTGCTATCCAACAGGAAGTGGCTGTCACTACCATGGGTGGTTTATTTTCAGTTTTCCCACTGAAATGCTGTCACCACCACCTTGGACTGACATGTCCCCATTCTTCCCTGTCCTCACTTCCAGTGGAAAGGTACCGCTGAGAGCGAAACTGACAGAATGGTGAATGCAAAGGGCCTGGCAGTCCCCAGAGGGCCTTTTACAGAGCACGGAAATAGGGGGAGGCAGCTAGTTACACAAGCATCCCCTTTGCAGGTGACTGGTCTGTCAATAGGTGGCAATCTCTCTCTTTATCTCACACTGAGAGGAGCCGCATTGCAGAAGAGCTTTCCTGGCTGCCGCTGCAGCTCTGCCCAACTAGGTCCTCCCAGAGAGAAGTGCAGGAATGAGGAAGAAGAGGGTGAACCCTTGAGGGACACAGGCAGAAGGATCTGCCAGTCCGGGAACTAACCTGTGGACTCAATGCCCTTTCCCCTTCTCCTCACTCACAGGTAGTTTTGATGGCAGAAAGCAAGGTCAACAATGAAGGACATTTCTTTGTGCCATTCAAAGCAGCCCTCTAAGTTCCAACATCTTTGGGAGCCAAAGTGTTAGAGTCATTCCCACGGCTCCTGGACAATTCCTCACGGCCATAGGTGGGCTTCTGCTGAGTGGCTGGTTCCAGCCAGAAAGTCTAAGGCAGTAACCTAGGTAAGGGGTCGCAAAGGCCTGAGGCCACCGTGGGCTGATGTGCTCGGCACCTACAACTGCCTGCGGCTCTGCGGACATCTGTCCTTGCCGTTTCTGGTCGGGCGCCTGCATTTCCAGTTGTGCGTAACAGGTGCAGGAGCGTTTGAGATTCAGAAAAGCTCCATGGCAGCCCAGGTGAGAGGCAAGTCAGGAAAGGGACACAAGTTGACCCGGCCGCTGAGTCTCCACGTTCTTTCTTCCAGTAAGGCCAAAGGAGGGTGCTGAGGGCAGAGGGGCCGGCTGCAGGGCGTGGCGCAGGGATGAGGTAAAGCTCTTGCAAATGAAGTAGAACCAGGTGCACTGCCATCAATCACTGTGGTTTTAGGGACAGAAAACCACGCAGGTCTATGGACGGTTGCCATCCAAGGTCTCTCAGGCTTGTCCATTCGTATAAAAATGTGAACAGACGTATGGATCTGAACGGACTCATGAGCGTGACAGACTAAGTGTGAGTCGAGGATAAGTTCATGTAGCTTTAAAAACCAACGGCACATCTGAGCATGGTGGCACACGGCTGTCACTACGACCCCGGCACCCGGGAGGCTAGGGCATAAAGATGCCGAGTTTGAGGCGGTTGTGGACTATGTAACGAGATGCCAGTCTAAAACAACAACAACAACAACAAACAAACAAACAAACCCAAGACTACAAAACAAAACAAAAATCTCAAGTGTGGGGTTCGAATAGATTCCTGCGTTTGAAGGCTTGGCCAGAGGGAGCGGCAGTATTAGGAGGTGTGGTCTCACCGGAGGAGGCGTGGCCTTGTTAGAGGACACGCGTTAAGGTGCAGGAGAGGCTTTGAGGTCTTAAATGCTCAAGCTATGTCCAGTGTGGAGCACATCTCGTCTCCTTGCTGCCTGCGGATCAGGATGTAGAACTCTTGATCTCTTCCAGCACCACGTCTGCCTACACCATGCTATGATTCTTGCCGTGAGGATAATGGACTGAAGCTCTGAAACTAAACCAGCCCCGATTAAAGGTTTTCCTTCCTAAGAGTTGCCTTAGCCTGGTGTCTCTTCACAGCCATAACACCCTAACTAAGACGCCAGGCAACAACAAAATGAAAACAAAACCAAGTATCTGCCTATGTCTTAGTTGGGGTTACTATTGCTGTGAGGAAACACCACAGCCAAATGCAACTTGCAGAGGAAAGTGTTAATTTGACTTACACTTACACTTACTGCTCCAGGGCAGGAAAACTCAAACACAACAGGAACCTAGAGGCAGGAGCGGATGCAGAGGCCTCGGAGGAGTACTGCTTACTGGCTTGCTCCTAATGGCTTGCTCAGCCAAGATTTTTAATAGAACCCAAGGCCACCAGACCAGGGATGGCACCACCCACAATGGGCTGGGCCCTCGCACATCAATCACTGATTATGAAAATGCCCTATAGGCTTGCCTACAGCCTGATCTTATGGAAGAGGTTTCTTACTGAGGTTTCTTCCTCTCAGATGACTTTTAGCTTGCGTCAAGCTCTCATAAAACTCTCTAACACAGCCTC